GCCGGGGCCTGGTGCGGCACCGTGGGAGGCTGGCAGGCAGGCAGAGGAGGCAGAGTCCCGGGCTGCGTCAGTTGCTGTGGCCGGAGGGGCGGAGCTGGTTCTGTTCAGACTTCTCCTGGGGTTTCCGCTCGCTTCCTTCTCTCAGTGGGCGGGGACGTGGTTTCACTGGGAGGCGTGAGCGTTCTCTCTCTCTCTCACGCCTGGTGAGGCCTTGGCAGAGGGCAGGTTTGTCTGGGTGGCCTTGTGGTTGAGGCCACACCCGCACAGCTGGGGATTTGTGGAACTAAAAAGCTGGCCCGGGTGCTCCTGAAGACGCTACCTGCCGGTTCTTCTCTTTTCTTCCTTTTTTAGTTTATTTATTTATTTCAGAGGCAGAGTTGGGGGAGAGAGAACGAGAGAGGGAGACAGACAGGTTGGTCTCCCACCCACTGGTTCACTCCCCAGATGGCCACATCGCGGGAGCTGGGCTGACTGGAAGCCAGGAGCCAGGAGCTGCTTCCGGCTCCCCAGCGTGGGTGCGGGGGCCCCAGCACTCGGCCATCTTGCGCTGCTTTCCCAGGCCACAGCAGAAGTGAGGCTTTTCGGGTCCGGGTCTGGGTCCGGCGGGGGAGGCGAGCTGTCCCCTGAAGGTCAGTGGCTCCAGGAGCCCCGTGCCGGCCGCGGCTGCTGCCAGTCCCTGCCGGCGGAGCCCTGTCCCGCAGGTAGCTGACACCCCCAGCCTGTGCGCCACAGCCACCCACAGAAACCACACGCAGGGCTGCTACTCAGAACTTCACGGTAACCACTGCTTTGTGAGGCAAAACCAGTGGAATTTTGGGTACTTTCTGTAACATCGCAATCTTCGCGGGGGTTTCCAGCGCCGGGGTGCCGGCTGCCCGGCTGTCAGGCTGGCGTGTGCTGGGCCGAGGTGTGCGCTTGCGCTGGGTGCTTACCTGGGGCTGCGAGCCGCGCGGAGGCGACTGAGAGCCCGCTGGCCTCTGACCTTCGCCTCGGAGCTCTCCGACTACACCACACACTCATCCTGGGGCCCTCTGATTTCCTCTCTGTACAAAACCGAGGAGGAGGGCCGGGTGTTGGGGAAGCGGCCCTCTGGTCAGGTCCCGGCGCCGCGCCGCGCGTGGGAGATGCCGGCAGCGTCCTGTCCACCGCCTGCCTGACCCGCTTACAGGTCTTCTCACAAGCACGTTTCTTTGTAAAATCATTGCTTTTCAAAGAGTATTTGTGTATTTGAAAGGCACAGTTACAGAGAGGGAGGCAGGGAGATCTTCCATCCGCTGGTTCACTCCCCACATGGCTTGAATGGCTAGGGCTGGACCAGGCCAAAGCCGGGAGCTAGAACTTTGTCCGGGTCTCCCACGTGGGTGCAGGGGCCCGAGTATCTGAGCCACCTGCTGCTGCTTTCCCAGGAGCATTAGCAGGGAGGTGGATCGGAAGTAGAGCAGTCAGGACTGGAACTGGTGCCCATGTGGGATGCCGGCACTGCAGGCAGGGGTCCAGCCCACTGCGCCACAGTACACATTTAAAAAAAATCTGTAGCAGCAATATGTTAGTAAAAACCACCTCTACACATGTCCCCATTGTTTGGGGGGTAAACTTCCATCTGGACTGACACCCTCCTGCTCAGCCTTGGGATAACTGGAGACAGCTTCTGGCTGTGCCCCACTCCTGCCTCCTGCGGCCCACCCACAGCAAGATACCGGTTTCTAGAGCTCAGCTTTTCATGGGTTAATTTCTTCATTTTCTGTCAAGATCTTGACAGTTAGGCACAAGTGAAGCTTTGTTTAGTTGGCTGCTGCAAAGGCTGGGTGGTGGACTTCGATCCACCAACAGTGACTGCTTGTAATTTATGTTGGGAACACTCACACAGAGTGAAAGAGCAGGTGTGACAGACGCGAGCTCAAGCAATCTATCAGGAAGTACAACCTAACTTAAATAATTGCCTGAATGAGGAACAATGATTACAGAGCATGAACTGGGAAGAAAACCAAGTTATTGAATCATGTTTCTTTTTTTTTTAATTTTTTGACAGGCAGAGTGGACAGTGAGAGAGAGAGACAGAGAGAAAGGTCTTCCTTTTGCCGTTGGTTCACCCTCCAACGGCCGCCATGGCTGGCACGCTGCGGCCGGCGCACTGCACTGATCCGAAGCCAGGAGCCAGGTGCTTCTCCTGGTCTCCCATGGGGTGCAGGGCCCAAGCACTTGGGCCATCCTCCACTGGCACTCCCTGGCCACAGCAGAGAGCTGGCCTGGAAGAGGGGCAACCGGGACAGAATCCGGCGCCCCGACCGGGACTAGAACCCCGTGTGCCGGTTCCGCAAGGCGGAGGATTAGCCTAGTGAGCCGCAGCGCCGGCCAAATCATGTTTCTAACGGATGGAACTATAAGTTGGGTTTTGTGTGTATGTCGGGGAGGGGGAGCAAAGATGGGCAGTTCTGAGAAAGTGTGCACTGTGGAATGGCATTTGGGGCGGGGCTGGGGAACCTTTTCTCTGCCAGGGCTATTTGCATATTTATAGCAGCATTTGTGGGCCGCACAAAATCACCAGCCTAAAAGTTAGCCCACATAAGGGCTGGCGTTGTGGTGTAGCAGGTAAAGCTGTCGCCTCTGCCACCCGCATCCCCTATGAATGCCGCTGAGGGTCCCGGCTGCTCCACTTCTGATCCAGATGTCTGCTGATGGCCCACGTGTGTGGCTCCCTGCCACCCTTGTGGGAGGCCTGGATGAAGCTCCTGGCTCTGGCCTGGCCCAGCACTGCCACTGTGGCCATGTGGGGTGAGAACCAGCAGATGGAAGCTTGCTCTCCCTGTTTCAAAATAAATATTTAAAAAATTATCCTGCTACAGGTTTATTGAACCTCAAGCCTCAGCATGGTTGCCTTGGCAGGGCCAGACCATATGGTAGCGGGGGCCTGGGCCATGGGCTAGACGCTCTCCGGCGCTGATTAGAGCTTTAGGACCGCTGCAGACCAAGGGTGCGAGCTGCACCTCCAGGAACGAGAGGTTCACAACTGCATGACCTCAGGGGCCGCACGCTGCCACCACTGCTGGGGACATGGAGTGGCGTTCCCCAGGCCCTTTGACTGAACAGATGGCTTAGTGAAGAAAATGTGCAGGGGCCAGTGTTGTGGAGTAGCAGGTTAAGCCTCCACCTGCAATACTGGCACCCCATATGGGTGCCGGTACAAGACCCGGCTGCTCCATTTCCGATCCAGCTCCCTGCTAATGTGCCTGGGAAAGCAGTGGAAGATGGCCCAAGTGCTAGAAGTTCTGGGTTCCCAGCTTCAGTCTGGTCCAGCTCCAGCCGTGTGGCCATTTGGGGAGTGAAATAGCAGAAGATCTCCTGGCTTCTGGCTGCCCCCTCCCAATACAGATGTGAAAGCTAGAAACGTGAATGAGTGCTACCACCTCTGAATGAGCACAGCCAATGGCTTTCTCATTCCTGGGGCACAGCCTGACGCCACCGGTCCTTTGTCAGGGTGTCTGCAGGTGACTTGGCCTCTGATACTCAAGCCCCAAGTGGAGGAAGCACACACACAGCCCCAGCAGCCTGAACGGAGGTCCTGGCCATGCTAGCCCAGTGTTCCTGGGGAATCCCAGGGGCAGGGGCTCCTGTCTGTGGGCAGTGCCTTCCAACTCATGTTCTTCTAAAGCTGGCAGAGCTCACAAAGACCCCTCTGCTGCCAGGCTTCCGGGGAAAGGTGTCACATCCTGAGCTGTGCATGGGATGGGCTCTGAGGGCAGCCGCCTGCTGGGCAGCGTGGAGAGCACAGGGCGGGGCAGGGTCAGGTCCCTGCTGGTGGCAGAGTGTCGGGGTGCAGGATGGAGAGCATAGGGCGGGGCAGGGCCAGGTCCCTGCTGGTGGCAGTGTCGGGGTGCAGCGTGGAGAGCACAGGGCGGGCGGGGCCAGGTCCCTGCTGGTGGCAGAGTGTCGGGGTGCAGGATGGAGAGCATAGGGCGGGGCAGGGCCAGGTCCCTGCTGGTGGCAGTGTCGGGGTGCAGCGTGGAGAGCACAGGGCGGGCGGGGCCAGGTCCCTGCTGGTGGCAGTGTCGGGGTGCAGCGTGGAGAGCACAGGGCGGGGCAGGGCCAAGTCCCTGCTGGTGGCAGTGCATGTCGGGGTGCAGCGTGGAGAGCACAGGGCGGGGCAGGGCCAGGTCCCTGCTGGTGGCAGAGTGTCGGGGTGCAGCGTGGAGACCACAGGACGGGGTGGGGCCAGATCCCTGCTGGTGGCAGTGTTGGGGTGCAGCGTGGAGAGCACAGGGTGGGGCGGGGCCAGGTCCCTGCTGGTGGCAGAGTGTCGGGGTGCAGCGTGGAGACCACAGGGCGGGGCGGGGCCAGGTCCCTGCTGGTGGCAGAGTGTCGGGGTGCAGCGTGGAGACCACAGGGCGGGGCGGGGCCAGGTCCCTGCTGGTGGGAGTCCATGTCGGGGTGCAGGATGGAGACCACAGGGCGGGGCGGGGCCAGGTCCCTGCTGGTGGCAGAGTGTCGGGGGATTTCAGGGCATCGTGCTGGGATTGCAGATGGAAGTGTGTCCATCTGGGACTTGCCTTATTATGGAAAAATTCTTAAGCGCCTCGCTGTGCTGACTGGAAAAGCATTCATTTAGTTTATAATTTATCAGATTTATAAAGTGGAGGCACTGGCAATGAAGCTGCTCATTCCACGGGAACTTGGTCGGGACCCAGTTCCCAACACGGTGGTAATGGTTCTCATTTTCGGTGTGTAGAGGAGTCAGTGTGGAAAAGGGCACCGAGCACGGCCTGCTCTGGCTCTGGGGCCAGCACAGGCTGAGCGGCAGCAGGTGTGGAGTGGGGCAGAGCCCGTTCCTGCCCGCAGCCAGATGAGCGAGGACTGCGCGGGCTCCGAGGCTCGCTCATGGTGCTCCGAGCTGCACAGGCAGCGTCCTCTAAGCATTTCCCGAGTTAACCTGGTGAGCAGCTGAGCAGAGAAAGCCTGGGGCTGGGCGCGAGGCACGCTGAGTGAGAGCCTGCAGCCGGTCGCGGTTTCTTTTTTCGCGTAGTTTATTAAATAGTTTATATATGCATTTACAAACTGTACTCATTTCAGGACTCTGCTTTCAGTACATTTTAAAACTTCTGTGCAGAGATTCTCTTGTAAAATGAGATCCAGATACAAAACTGGGCAACAGATAGAAAAGTCTCCTTTCACACTTCTCATCCATCAAGCAATCAGGGTGGCGAAGAAACAAAACCCAAACGCGGCTTTCAGAGGAAGGGCACGTCGGTGTCCCGCTGTGAATTCTAACAGGGTGGTTCCTGTTTGCCCCTACACGGTTGCATATAGCGCTACTACTTCTAGCTACTGTGCTACGCTGCTTCGGCCTGCACTAGGTCACCTGCGAGCCATCCGTCACGCGGTTCTTCCTGCCGTGGTCAGAATTCACGCACGAGGTGACACGGACCGCTCCGCGCTGTGCATTCATCCCAAACATTGCATAGAAAGTTCCCTTAAAAAATTCTGTAACTTCCTCACAAGCTAAAGTAAGAGCCTCTAAACGGCTCTTTTATTTAAAGAAATAGATTAAATGATCTATTTAGAAGCCTAAAAGTATCTCTGAAACTAAAGTTGCTTTTCCTAAAATGAGCGCTGACTTTACAGTTCATGGGTGGGGCACGGCCCCCAAGGCCCTGGCGCCAGGAGCTGCAGCCTCCCTGGAGGACAGGGGCACGGCCCGCAGGCCCGGGGCCTGGGCTGCGTGTGCGTCTGGCAGCAGCAGACTGGACGCTTGACCGTTTGACAGAGAATGAACACACCAGCTTCAAAGACGTGACTCCCGGCAGGACACTCGGGAGTTACAAGTTCGTGGTGATTGCATAATTTGTATTGCACAGTTGTATAAAAAACATAAATACTGGCTATTCTAGCTTTAAATACAAAATACATGTCATATACTTTGAAATCTATGATCTGGTTTCAAGTGCAAATCAGGTGCTTTGTTTCGTCCTTCCAAAAAAGGCATGGTAGCGTTTTTGGCACAGATGACCGTCGTCCTGCCGACACGTGATTACGACACGTACCCCGGGCCCGGCGGGGCGCTCCTCCACCGAGGACCCACAGCTGCGCCGAGCCGCGCCGCGCCCGCTCAGGCCGGCTGCTGCGGGTTGACGTTCATGTGCGGAGGATGTCCTAGAAGACCGATTCTTTGTTTCTGCTTCCTCTGTTCTGTCATCTGGAAAGTTAAGAAGTTTCATCATTAGACACAGACACTTCCTGTGCGTCAGGCTGCACAGCACCGCGCGCTGACCTCTGTGGTTGGGGTTTATTCCGAAACCCACTTTCTACCGCGTCACTCACAACCCAAGGCGCGGCGGGGAATTCTGCCGCCCAGTCATGCGAGGGAGCTTTCATAAAGCAAACAGCACAGGATTCTGGCTTTCTGATGGGTTCCCAGGCCCAACAGTGCCGCCTGCTCCAGCGGGACTGGCACGCCCCTGGTCCCCAGTAACTGTGGATGTGCTGGTTAGAGGGAAAAATGAGCCAGACCCTGCAGGAGAGGGGACACAACCCCACTGCAGGGCAGAGGAGTCAAGGCCGTGGGTACAGCCAGGGCCTCCAGCCACACACCAGGCCCGGCTCCCCACACCCAGAGACGCAGACTCCACTCGGCCGGGCTGCCTCGGGGCACACTGGCTCCGCCACACTGAGCTCCTCCCTTCGCCCCTCGCGTCCGGCCTGGGAGTGAAAGCTGAGGGAAGAACTGGTGGCTGCAAGGGGTTAAGCTGCGACTCGCAGGTTTCTGGCTTCCTAAAATCAGAGGACTCAGAACGCAGCCGTGGGGATCCGGGAGACTTCGTTCCTGACGCCTCGGTCGCCCACTGTCTCCGAGTCTGGTTCCTCACCCACACCAGGGTGGGGGCCGTGCCCCGCTGGCTGCGGGCGGGAGTGAGTCACCAGACGCGTGGCAGCCCAGTGTTCACGTGGGCAACGCTGCCTGGACCGGGGAGGATGTGACACCCGCCCCATTGTCCCTTGGCAGAAAAGTGGTTCCCCGCCCCTGCCCACACAGGGAGGGGGACACGCACCCTCCCTCGGAGACGGGCACCGTGTTCCTGACCTCCCCGGCACAGGGCTGGCCGCGCAGCACGCGCCTCAGTGGGGTTCACGGGAGCCAATGTGTGCTGTGAAAGTCCCCCGGGCGTGTCTCAGTGCTCAGGGCAGAGCGGCAGCCGCTGCTGGGGGCTCCCCGGGAGAGGCGCTGCCTGCTGCAGCTCAGACGCGGTGTGCGGGATCCAGGCGCCGGGCAGAGGCGGGCTCCGTGCGTGCGCCGTCCGCTGTGCTGACAAGTGCCAGGCAGGAGACGCTGCTGGCCGAGAGCTTTTCCCTCATCAGCTCCCGGCCTGGCCAAGGCGACGCCAGGGTCTCTTCGAGTATTTTTAACACGTTTTCCAAACAGTCTTTGGGGCACTTGACCCTTGTTTTTGGATGAGAGAAGGCCTTGAAGACTCGGCACAGAGCACACAGGGCGGAGCCGCCTGGCTGCTGCGTCTGTCACCACAATGGCGGGCATCGAAGGGACAAATGAGAAGAAACTGGGCCAGCACTCAGGCGCATGGTCCTCTGGACAGTGCTCGTCAGCCAGTCACAATGACAAGGGGACCACCAGGATCTCAGACTGCAAAACCCCTGGACACAAGAGGGGACCCGAAGAAAGCCAGGCGACTTTTCCATCCACACAGCTTGCCATCAGTTCCCTCTGCCTGTTCTCACACATGCGATGTGAACGCATCGTGTCACGAGGCAGCATTAGCGTGTCATTCTTACCTGTATCAAAACACACGTGAGGAAGGACCAGCATCTCACGTCTCTCCAGACTTGCGATAGACAACTGACGTGACAGGAATATTCACCCTGCGCCTATAGCAACCCCGAGGTGCTGACACACAGACATTCTCGGCGCTGTGCAAGGTCCCATCTGGCCGAGGGGGACCGGCAGAAGGGGGACCCTAACCCTAGGTTGTGTACCTAGGGTTACTTCTCACATTCAGAACCGAGCCTGGACTGGCTGTTCCCGCCTGGGCTGCAGTCTAAGCCACCAGGACACCGGGTTTACAGTCAGAGGGGGCCAAGAACCGAGCGCGCGCTCACCCAGGCCCCAGAACACACGAGGCGAGCGTCAGCTGGTGTCACAAGGGCGCGTCAGGTCCTGGGGCTCTGGCGTGTGTGCAGTCTGAACAGTGTGCAAACGAGAACACAAGTGCTTGAACATGGACAGGAGGGGGTGATGGCCTGTCTGTCCCCGGCCACTGAGCTCCTGCCCCACCTGCCGTCAGACTGCCACCTCCTCCCACACTGAACACACGGCCCATCTCTGTACCCAGCGCTGCCCCTGGAGTGGCTTCCACACAGGCACGTGAGACAGGAGGACTGAGGGCACCCAAAAAGGTACCAAGAGCTGGAACAAAGCCATTTAAACAGGACCATTCTAGTACCTTCACGGACCTCAGCCGTGTGCGACCACGTAAGCCAGTGCTGTGGTTTACTACAAGGCATCCTAAACAAAGAGCAGGGGAAAAGAAACAAGCATCATGAGGAAACAATGCAGGGATCTGAGAGTAAGCCCAGCCTGGACGGAGCTGTGGAAGCACACGTGCAGAACAGCCCGACCCTGGACCGTGAGAATGCCACGCCTGTGCCGTGGTCCGGTAGGTGGCACACGGCAGTCACCGTGTCCTCAGCGATGACACGGCCCTGACACTTGACCACCACCTTCAGCAGTCAACCACGACAGGCAGAGTAAACTCACGGAACCCAGCAGACGAAGACCAAAATCTGCACACGAGCGAGCCCCGACGGGGGCATCAGCAGCGCCTGCACCGTCACATGGGGCTGGGTGGGGTCTAAGGGGAGGAAAGGCGGGCGCGGGGAGAGGACAGCGGTCGCCCTGGTCCTGCTAACCCCTCGCCTCCACTCACTCCTCCAGCGAGGCTCCTTGTCTGCAAGGCGGGCGGCGCCGCTGCCCGAGCGAATCACACCGTGAGGTCTCAGCCCTGTAGGCGAGGGCGGCCAGACTGCCCCAGCACCCCGGACCCAGAACTCTGTACTAAACTGGACACGCTTGGTTTCTGATTTCAACAGGAACAAGCCAGCAAAGACCTTCCGGGAGGGGGAGGGGGAGGGGGAGTGTGCAGGACGGAGCTCGGCTGCACTGGCACACGAGGGCTGCAGGCCTGCCCGCCGGGCGGCAGTCACAGCCCGCTTGCCTCGCTGCTCAGAGAGCTGAGCACTTCCTTCGCTCAGTGTCTGTGACGTGGAAGCTCGGGCACCCAGGCTGGACTCAGTTCTGTGGCCACAGTCTCACGGGGAGAAGGCAGCCGCAGCCTGCCAGGGGGTGGGCACGGCAGGAGCGGGAGCAGACAGCCTGGGCGCGGGCCGCTCGGTCACGTGCATCACGTGTCACACAGCAGGGGCGCGGAGTAAGACACAGTAATCGGGGCGTCTTCCGTCATTCTGCGTCCCGCTGATTACTCATTGTCAGTGGGCTCAGAGCTGCGGGCAGCCCTCCTACCCCAGGCCTGGCTTTTCTCACTAGTTCACTCCGGTGTGTACTGAGATGCAAGGAAGACCCCGAGACCTGACGGCATCCCGGGGCTGGACAGGAATCAGATTCACTATTACAGACACTCGGGGAGAACGGGCGTTGGCCTCCCACACCTGACACTCCAGGGCAGGCAGCAGGTGACTGCCCCTGTACTTGGGTCCCTGCTACCGCAAGGGAGACCTGCATCTGGTTTCTGGCTCCCGGCTCTTGGTGGCATTTGAGGAGTGAACCAGCATGAGGAAGATTTCTTGCCCCCTACTTTTCAAACTAACAAAAAATAATTATTTTAGAAAGAAAAAAAAAAAAAACACACGCATACACACTCAAGCCTGAGAAGCCCCTCCAAGAGTGGCTGGCTCTCAGGCGGTCCTGCGGGCTTCCTGGGTGCGGAGGAGTGAAGATGATGTAGGCGCACTGAGCAACTACCTCAGCCAGAAACTTGCCGGAGCCGGCCAATGGGCAAGACGCCTCTGGCCGGCCTGGAGCCTGAGGTCCCGGGGCGCAGGGGCGGAGCGGACGGGGTCGCCTCTCCGGCCCCCCGGCAGGATGCGGGCGATGGCGGCACGCGGCTATGTGTACAGTCCGAGTGAAGGAGCGCACGTACCGCGCCCCCGCTCTGGTTTTGCTTCCAGTGAGGAGCCGTCCCCGGCAGCACCAGCAGGTGCATGGGGCCGCAGCGGGACGGGTTCGCGCCCTCACCCACCTGGTCTTTGAGCTCCGACAGCTGCCCCGAGAGGTTGCTGACCAGTCTCATGGTGGACTCCAGCTTCTCCTGCAGGCTGCGCAGCTCGTTCTGCTCGCCCTCCGAGTCGCTGCTGACCAGGGACATGGCTCGCATCCGTGGGAACCAGTCGAGGTTGCGTTCCTGTGGCCCACAGGGAGACAAACGCAGGGGCGTCACGGGGAGGCCGCGGCCGGCAGAACTGTGTGTCTGTACTTCCTCATGAGTATCTCTGCTGTCCAGCACGAGTCACGTGCTCTGCACTGGGCAGGTGGGGCTGCGTTCCAATAAAACTTTATTCACAAATACTGGCGCAGGTTGGGCATGGCCCCAGCCAGTTTGCTACTCTCTGTGATGCACAGGAGACGGTAACCTGTTTACAGCAAATCACAATTCCCTGTATTACAGTAAGGCCATTCAACTGTCTGGACTCCAGGCTGTGTACTACCGAACACAGCCATACGGAGAACCACTAGTGGACCAAAAAAAAAAAAAAAAAAAAAAGAAAAACAGCACAGACAAGCCAAGCCACCTTGCGACTCCTCTCAGAGCAGTTGCCCCAAACCTCAGGGGCCCAGGAAGCAGGAGCCCAGCTCGGCTGAGCAACCAGAACACAACAGGGACTTGGTTCCCCTGCTTCCTGCATGGGCACCACTGACGAATGCGCATTGTGGCTGTGGGAGGAGAGGACATGGGCTGGGGGAAGCCATGTGACTCTGCAGTTCACAGCACAGGCACTCTAGCACCTGGCCTTGCAAAGGGAGAACAGGTGTCCCCAGGTGACCCTGGTGTGGGTGGCAAGGGCGTGGAGGCCAGGTGGAAGAGGAGCAGAGGGGGAGGGCCCACAGGTGGGCCTGAGGACACACACAGCAGCCGGAGAACTCGGCTGTGGGTCAGTTCTGTCACATGCAAAAGGGGCCTCAACTGCCCAGAGTGTTAGCGAATTCACCAGAACCCGGCTCTCAACATCTTCCTTATGTTCATTTGCTGAGCAAGCCCTACATAAACACAGAACAGAGGTTTCCAGTGGTGCCCACCTGAGTGAGGTCCTCCAGAGATGCCGGGAAGCTCATGCCGGAGCCTATACCCGGCATTTTAATACCCTCAGCGCCCGGACTCTCTGGAACAAGCGACTGGCTGACTACAGAGGAAGACTGTCTCCCAGCCGATTCCCCCTTCGTTCACAGCGCGGGGGAAGTCAGGGAAGTCTGTGAAAACCAGGCCGCCTGCACTCCCAGCCACGTACTGCTCCTGTGCTGGGCTCTCTGGAGCAGACGAGCAGTGCAGACGGCGGCCCCAGCTCTGGGCCCAAGCGTCTGAGCCTGCACGCAGGAGGCCCCTGCGCCCTGCTTCCCCACGGGGGCTGCCCAGATGGGGCACGCGGCTGAAACCAGAAAGCTGCTTTTTAGAACGTTTAGTTAATAACAAACAGCTGCCAACATCCACGGTGAAGCCCACACGTCTTAGAGCAGGACATCACACTGAATCAAGTTTGGAGAAACAAGCGGAACACTGCCAAGAACCATCTTCCTCGCTGCAGGTCACCTTGGGCCCTGTGCTGACCGCACAGGAGACCCGCTCTAGGTGCCTGCCCGCAGGGTCTCCCTGGGTACCCAATACTGAAACGCTGGGGTAGGGGGCATCCTGCTGAAACCCTAAGCATGGAACACAGCTCAACTGCACAGAAGGTGCAGCCTGCGAGGCTGCGCGGTCCCCGTGGCTGCACGCAGTGGGCAGTGCCAGTATTTTAATTAAATAATCACTCTGGGCTGTTGCATGACATCTCAGGTTACCACGGAGGACCCAGCCGTTAAAGTTAATCGGCCATTCTAGCTCCTGCGCTCTCGTTTCCAGCTGCCTTTGCATCCTGAGCAGAAGGGCGAGCTCTGCGGCGGCGTAGGGTTCCTCGGTGCAGGGGATCGGCGCCCTGGAATCGAAGTGCTGGCCTCTCCCAACCGCTAGTATGGGAGCCGAGAGCACCCGAGTCCAGCTGGGCCCTGCTCAGCCAAGACCTGAGGACCAAGTGCGGGCTTGTGTGCGAGCTCCGGACTCCTGCTCACCGCCCGGGCTGCCCGTGCAGTGCTGGGGAAGTGCACTTCCTCCCAGACAGTGTTTACACACGAATTCATCCTGGGTGAGTGTGCGTGGTCGTGGGCGGAGGAGGGGCACATCTGCGATGCATCTGCCAGCCCGGCAGCGGCTCCTCCGTGCCTGCTGCATACCAAGGGCCTCAGGCAGCGTCTGCGGGTCCGGTGCTCCCACAGCCCTGCCCGTGCGGGCGCTCCCTCCACCGCCGCTGACACTGAAGTGGCAGCAGGAAGCAGCTGGCCGCAAGTGCTGAGGTTCTGGTGAGCTCTTTTCTAGGTAAAGTTGGAAAAGTCCCCGCAGAGCAAACACGGGAGTTTTAGACATGGGGGCGGCACTGACCAGCCCGTACTGTGTCCTTGACTGGAAAGGGGAGGGGGTGTGAGGAAGGGGAGGAGGAAGTCGGACTGTGTGATGCAAATGCTAATCATTCTGAGAAGCGTTTTTTTCCCTTTCCTAGGTTCCACTGAAGAGCCTGTTCTGAGAAAGCCTCCAGAGCAAACGGCACCTCCGAGGCAGTGAGCTCAGGGCCAGGACCCTGCTGACCCACACGGCGGGCTCAGCAGGGCGGCGACACTGCGAGCAGGCAGAGGCCAGAGCCTCAGGAAGGCAGGCAAGCTGGATGTCCCCAGGCCGCCTGCAATGCTCAGGTGACAGCAGTGAGCAGAGGGAGGGGGGCAGACGCGGCGCCCTGGGTCACCTGCTCCTGCCACCTGCAAGAACAAAGGGCAGACTCTTTCCAGCTCATTTTTCTAGGATCAGAGCAAAAAAATAAAAAATTAAAAAAAAACCCGGTAGCCTGAGCGGATGATGTTCACGGCGATACTTGTGTTCAGTGGCTCGACCTGCCACATCCTCTCTGCTCAACAGCCTCACACACCCGCCCAGGGACCAGGAGCGAGAGGGACACAGAGCTGCGGCCCTGAGGATTTTTATGACGAAACCCTCCCGGGTGACACTTCTCCCGCGTCCATCAGCACCAGGAGCGCGGGAGTTCAGACAGGAGGAGACGCAGGATTGGTCTGTCGGTGGCCACACACACCACAGCCACGCCGAAGGCGGCTCGCGGCCACCTGGGCAGCGTGAGGGAGGGGAGCACGGCCTACGTCCTGCTCCAGAAATGCCGTCTGCTAAGTCGGAAACGGATCCCGCACCTCACATGTGTGGGTCAGCCCCGAGTGCAGAGCTCCGCAGACCCAACTCACACAGAGGATCCCCGCTTCTCACGAGCTCTGTGCATCTGCGCCACACTCACCACTGCCATCTGTCAGCACGATCTGCAGCGTCACATACTCGGAGCTGAGGCTGAGGACGGAGGGGCCGAGTCAGCCCGCTACCGTGCTCGCTGTGAGGGTCCGACGGGGGAGTGCTGCCCATAAACCGGAGAGCGCCATGCAGGAAGAGGAGGGACTGACTGATGGGAGGTTCATGGAATATGGAATTCAAGATGCTCATCTTGCTGCAGATACTTTTTAGAAATCTGGGTGGCGTTTAGCTTAGCAGGTAAGATGCCGGTGAAGACACTCGTGTCCCACCTCCGAGTGCCTGGGTTCAACGCCCAGCTCCGCCTCCTGAGTCCCCGCTAATGCAGACCCCAGCAGACAGCACCGAAGGCTCAAGGACTTGGGCCCCTGCCACCACGCGGGAGATCCACATAGAGTTCCTGGCTCCTGGCTGCAGCCCCAGGCCAGCACTAGCTTTTGCTGGCATTTGGAGACTGAACCACTCGATGGTGGCTCTCTGTGCCGCTCTCTCTGCCTCTCAAAAGAAATAAAAATTAAAAATACATTTAGAAACTCTAAACAGATAAGAGGTGTTTGAAAAGTTCACAGCATGCATTTGATGAACAAAAGCTACGAATGGATGTCAAATAGTTTTCTGCAACAAAATAAACTTCACTGTCCATTCCATTTTTCGAGGGCTTCTCGAAGCACCTGTGTGCTATGAATCGCTGTCATCTGCGCCAGGTCACAGCGCTGGAGCACGGGCAGCCCCGTGGGCCACAGACTGGCTCCGATGTCAGCGCAAAGGGAGCTCCTTTCTTGCTTTGGATAAAACTTTAGACGGGGCCAGTACTGTGGCAGAGGGGTAAGTTTCCACCTGTGATGCCGCATCCCGTATCAGCACTGGTTCGGGTCTAGGCTGCTCTACTTCGAATCAAGCTCCCTAATGCTCCTGGGGAAGCGGCAGATGACTGCCCGAGTGTGTGGGGCCCTGCCACTCACATGAGACACCTGGATAGAGTTCCAGGCGCCTGGCTTCAGCCTGGTCCAGCCCTGGCCATTGTGGCCACGTGGAGGAGCAAACCAGCCAGTGGATGATCTCCATTGTCTCCTTCTCTCTGTCTGCAACTGCCTTTCAAATAAATAAATCTTTAAAAAAATTCTAGCAGGGTGAATTTTTGGCACAGTAGTTCAAGATGTTGCTTGAGGCACTGGCATCCCCCACTGGAGGGCCTGGGTTCAAGTGCCAGCTCCACTCCGATTCCAGCTTCCTGCTAACACTGGGAGGTGGCCGGTGATGGTTCCAAGTACCAGGGTTATCTGTCACCCACATGGGAGACTCAGATGGAGTTCCTGGCTCCTAGCTTCTGCCTGGCCCAGCCCCCGCTGTCGTGCATATCTGGGAGTGAACCGGGCATGGGGGAATCCCTGTATCCCCTTCTGTCTTTGAAATAAAAAATTAAATTTTTTTTCAGAGCTACTGATTTCTCTTTTACCGACTTCGCCAGGTAAAGGTTGTTGAGCTGCTAAGCTCTGGGCAGTGTGACCCAGTAGGCTGCGTTATAAAACCTCCCGCTGGGCTGGGCTGGGCAGTTACCCTTCCCAGACACGGTTTGTTCAAAGACAGGCTCCCGTCAGCACAGAGAACCACACCCATTTCTGATGAAATCCCTGGGCAGAGCCACCTACAGGATCACTCTCTTCAAGTCCTTCTGGGGCCACAGGTGCAACCGTGAGAAAGCCGGGCTCGCTTTGGGAGTGGCCGGCAGGGTCTTGGGCACCTGGGGCTGACAGGCTGGAGATACCAGATGTTGGGGGTGGGGGAAGCTGCCCTCC